AGCCCACACCACCTTACATCATCCCACACTTCCATCTAAGCATGGCTAGGTGCACTGGAGCTCAGAAACACTCAGCCAAAAACGTCTGTGTTTTATACACCCCACCACACCCCTGTTCCAGCCAAGCACGGTTAGAATCAACTCTGCTCTGTTTACTTCTAATTAATAAAGCTTAACACGTGACAGTCGATTTGTTAAGTAAACAAATGAACAAGGTTAACTATCCATTCTTGAAGAACTGTGGTAGCACCAAACTGCAGGTGAGCAGTTTCCCCTGAGACGTCTTGCCAGTGTCTTGATGCCTGGCCCAGAACACAAGTTCCTGTGGCTTTCCCTGCTCTCAGCTGCAAGTTGTTAAGGACCTGGCTGATGCTTCTGAGCTCATCACACTACACAAGTACAGCAGCAGTAGCCTGGATGAGGGGAGGCAGAGGAAAAGGCCTGGATAACTAGATGCACTGAGAAGCTCATAAGATCATGTGGGCTATCAGGTCAACACAGTAACAACACATACATCCTGCAGCGTTTTTGCAGAATAAGGGAAAGGGCTGAGGCTGGGGTTCTCCTGGGGACACTGCTGCCCCCTGCAGCTGTGGCTTAAGTAGGCATGCCTGGCATCACAGTGGGTCCCACATGCAGAGTAGGCTGAAGATGCCATTACTCCTGGGAGGCTGAGGCAGTCCACGGTGCTAAGCCAGCCTCCTATGGCCATCTGTAAAAGACTGGGATATAAGCTGAGCCTGAAATATCATGCACAGATGCTGAAGGCCCCACTTCTCCTCTGGGACCTGTTGCACTCTGCCTTTTCGTTCCACGTTTTCTATAAACAGCCACTCTGGTCCTCACTCTTTAGCACAAGCCTAAAGGAGGTGCTGGGTAAAGCCACTCTTCCCTAACACTATCCTGGCCAGCGGAGAACAGGTCTGCTTCCTATTCTGAATGGCTTCTCGTTCACATAAACTCTAAACTAGCTTCCCAAATCGTATGTTATATGTATGTTCTATTAGCTATGGACTTTATGGACTTTAGTATGTTTACAAAAAAAAAGAAAGAAACAGCAAGTCTGCTAGCATGAAGTCCAAAGATGACAAAATAAATAACTAACAAGGTCAGTAAAGGTCACTGTTTGTGAGACAGAAACCACAGAAACCAACCAGAGAGAAGATAGCACAGGGTGCTCAACCCCCCTCAGTTCTCAGTCAGATTCTACTGAGGGCTGCTGGCCCAAAGCCACTGCACAGTACATTCAACTTGGAACATCCAAAGAACCTAAATGGAGCTGGGCGGTGGTGGCACATGCCTTTAATCCCAACTGAATAAATGCCTACCTGGGCAGGGCAGAAGTGAGGTAGGCAGGGCCAAGTTTCGAAGGCTTGGAGGACAGGAGGATAACCCAGAGAGACAAGAGAAGTAGAGGAGAGGGGAAGAGCCGGAGCTGCAATGAGTTAGCACGAACAACAAGCATGTGGCTGGGAGGAGCCTGCTCTGAGGATCCACTGATGAAGGAGAGCAGCCCAGATGAGAAACATGATTTATGGAATATTGGAAGGGAAGTAGTCCAGGTAGAAATTATTAGCACAACTGGCATGGGATGTGGGGCTGGGGTGTAAAAGATAGTTTAGTGACGGTAGTTTCTGCCCAGCCCCAGAGTTTAAGGCATATTAAAAATCTAACAGGTATCTATGTCTTATTGATACAGTAACAGGTTAAATAATGACTGCCATAATAATAATGATATGGTTAATAACAAATATTAACCCATTTTCTATAACATGAGGGTCTAACCAGCTGGGTCACGGAAGCCCAGGTTATCTGATTAAACCTCAATTCAAGGTGTTCAAGAAGATGTTTCCTGGACAGTCAGCATCTAAATTAATGCACCAGGAAAAGCACTGGGCCCTCACCAGGACACCAGGCACCATCCTTCCACTGAGGTCTCAAAATAAAGCAGAAGAACCAGGAGAAGATCAGTGCTCTCTCCACCTGACTGCTGATGTGGAGTGGGCCTCTCCTGCCTTAGGCTCCGAGCTGTCAGTCTTAGATGTAGAGCAGCAGCCCCCTGGCTTGCAGACCACAACCACTGGCTTTCCCAGGCCTCCACTTGCAGACCAGATTAGGAAACTCCCTGGCACCCAAGTCATATGAATCAATACCTCAGGACACACAGATTTCTGGAAAGGTGCAAACATCATGTTGTCTCTGCTTCTCTGGAGGGCCCTGTGGCCTCAGAAGAAAGATGTAGCCTGCTTACAGTCATGGGCAGCCTTTGAGATGGATTCCACTGATCCTGGTAGTCATACCCCAATGTCATTGCCTCCCATAGTGTCAGGCTACTCTGTGTAACCTCAGGACACAGCATGCTCTCCAAGCTGACAGAAACCTCGAGGCGTCCATCTGGGGCATGCTCATTCTCTACGGGAGCCACCTTCCACCCTGTGAAGAGCCTACTGTGAAGACTCAAGGCCTCTTGTTGACAGCCAGACAGGCACGTGCAGGGGAATATAGGCACCATTCCCAATCAAGCTGTCAAGTACACCAACTCTGTCCAGCGACACAACCTCTACCTCCTGAAAGAGACCCATCCTCAGACTCCTAGCTCACAAAATCATGGAAAATTCTAAACACTTGCCGTTGCAGGAGACCAGGTTGCTAGCGCAATGACCAGAGACAAAAAATGTTCCTAGAGTGACCCAATGACCTTGACCCTATCTCCTAAATTCATGTGTGGGAAACTCAGTCCTTGACACAGCAATGCTGAGAGATAGCTATTAGGAACTGATCAGGGCTGGAGAAATGGCTTAGCAGTTAAGGAGACTTATCACTTGTGCAAAGGACCTAAGTTCAGGTCCCAGCACCCATATGGAGCTCACAACTTTCAGGAACTCCAGTTCTAGGGATCCAACACCCTCTTCTAGCCTCCATAGGCACTAGAAATATACTTGTTGCATAGACATACACAAAAGCAAAATAGTTAGCCACATAAAAATTTAAATAATTTTTTTAAAAAGCACTGATCAGGTAACAAGAGTTCTGCCCTCATTCATGGTTTAGCACTAAACATGTTTGTAAAAGCAGATCAGCTGCCTCTTCCCTCACACTCTCCATGCTGTGATGCCTTCCATCATGTTCCGACATGCCAGAAGGGGCCCCACAGGTATAGCCTTCAACCCTAGCCTTCCCAGCTTCCAGAAGGGCCCCCGCAGCCTTCAACTCCAGCCTTCCCAGCTTCCAGAACTTGGAGACAGCCGTTTCTGTGTTCTGTTACCCCAAGATCAGAGACTAAAACACTTCCTCCAAAGGGACTTATTGTGTAATTTTAGTCTTCTCTTCTCTAACACCTGTCTCCCATCTGGAGGCAAGCCAATCAGTTATTTAGAGGGATGTGACTTACACAGCCTTAACTACACCTGATTATAATGCTACCCCATCAGGAGTGAGTGGCAGCCAGGGCCATGACAACCCTGCACAAGTTACATGCCCTCGGTCTCTGTTGAACCACAGCACATGATGAAGGTCGTTAATTTTAAGCAAGAGGAGTAATCAAATGCTAAATGTGCTCAGAGTGTTTCCGTTTCACCATCAGGTACCCAAGGCTAGTAAAGCACATGTTCATATGCATGGGCTCTCAGTGGGTACTCAGGACAGACTGCTCTTCTGACCCGGTATAGCCAAGGTTCATTCTTTCTGCCTTGTGGCTAATAAAATATACCTTTGATGAGGCAAGGTTTCAGCAACCTAATTAATAAAAAGTGATGGCAGTTAACACATATTACCTATGTAAATGAAAGTGTATTTACTGAACCAAAAGAAAAAATGGTCTCTCATGGTCTCTTTTCATCCATGTGATAATTCACTGGAGTTTTCTTTTCCCCAGTTTACAACTAAGAAAACTAAAAACTCACTCAAGGTCACATAACTAGCCTAAGCCCACTGCAAAAAACAGCTAAATTCAAAACCACTTTCACAGTGAAAAATGGAAGGAAGTGAAATGAAAAGTGATGTTGTGTCAACTATAAGTGCAGTAGATAAAAATATGTTCACAGGACAACAAACTCAGTTTTAAAAACTTGGATGTTTTCATAGGACTCAGCTTTTTAATTCATCATATTTAATAGGATATAAACATCAGAGAAAAAAATTAGTGGTTCTTAGATAAAAATAGGTTCAATAATATTTGTAATTAAGAGATATGCCACTAGCCTAATTTTTCTCCTGTGACATTATAGGATACAATACTTTGCCCTCTGCAAACATAGATGGGAGCAGCACCATTTCCCACAATGATGTGGAGCCCATGCAGCTCAGCACCTGAGCTACACATGCCTACACATGCCTGCACTTTGACCAGCAAATCCAGGACCTTTTCCAACAAACACACCAAGTGGGAACACAATGGCAGGAACTCAGGTTATATGCTTGGGAGTAACACAAGACCAAAAAACTCCTTAATGTCCAGTTACTAGCAGACTGGTCAAACCAATCCTGGTGCAGCCAGACCAGCACACATCAAGCGCTACTAGAAAGAGGATGGTAACCCTGAGTACACCCACACAGAACTCTGCCTGGGATATAGTGATCCTGCAGAGAAGAGGGAAGGGAATACTCATGCATGTATACATCTGCCTCCAGCACACAGAGCATATCTGGGATTGGTTATAGTTAAGCCAGCAGGGAGCAAACTGAGTGGCAGAGAATAGAAGAATGTCCATCAATTTAACACCGATTTTTAAACATATGCATTAGTATCCCTCATCCAAAGAAGTACACCAAATGAAAATGCATATATGTAATTTCCTTTGGTATTCCTTTTCTGTTTAATTATGAGTGGGTTGTGGTGGCACAAGCCTGTAATCCCTCTTCTTGGAGGCCAAGGCAGGAAGATTCCAAGTTTGAGGCCCACCTGAGCTACGTTCGTAGCAAGACCCTTCCTCAAAAGCAGAGAAGGTGTGTGTGAGACTGGGGCTACGCATGCTTGCCTCTCCATCCCTTGCCCCATCTACCTTGCCAGTGCCTGGACCTTTGTGGTATGGCGCTCCTGCTGCTCGGTCACCTTCCTTTTCAAGGCGTCCACCTCTAGCCTGAGTGCAGCTGAGTGCTCCATCTCACCATCAAGGAGATTCCGCAGTGACCTAGAAAAGAGGGTCTCACGTTCAGAGACTATTCAGCCAACCCATCAGAGAACAATGCAGTTCTTATGCCAGCTCAAGTTTCATCACTGCCCACAGGCTCTGCACAAACCACAGTGCAGTTCTACATCACCTAAGCCGTTATCAGACAGCAAACAAAAGCCAGGAGCCTGGGGGTGAGAAAGGCCCTGAGCCCCAGGGCAGGCACCTGTGGTCAGACTCTCCTTGCTCCTGGGACAGCTGAGGTCAAGGAAACAAGGAGCTCAGCAAATGCCACAGAGGCGCTATTACACTCCAAAGGTTTAGTGTGTTAAACAGAAGTTCTGCAAAGCCTCAGTGGGTAAGCGATCTCACAAATGAAGGAATACTCTGCAGCAGAAAAACACAGACTACTTGCTCAGATTCCAGGACAGATGCCTCATCTTGCTTCCACTGCTGCCAATAGAATATACACCAGGACCCACAGTTCACTACCACCTCCATGATAAGCTAGTGTGTAAGGCATTCTATGGCGCATATGTTAGACATAGCACAGGCTAAGCTAGCATTTGTGGTATTCTATGGAGTACACAATAGCATAGTACTACCTGATATTCCTATATATTTTAGCTTTTATAGCATTCTCATCTGCATATACAATGCTTGTCCCCAGAAAATGACCAGTGTAGCAGTTCTAGGAAGGATCACGAGCTACTATCCTAAGGTAAATCAAATATGGTTCTACTTCACTGTGCCTAAATAGTTGTTTCTAGAAAACCAACCGTGGTCTATTTACAGGCCATATTCAGAGGATGCCTGCTATGAACATCAGGATGTTTCAGATACATCAAACCCTGTGGTGCCCCACTGCCACAGTGCTCTACAAGAGCTTGGAGAAGAGTCCCCTCCTGCCGCATGCCACCTCCTGACAGAAACATCCTGGGGGATTCTGTCTGTGAAGAAGTCAAAATACAGTTGCTGTCATTCTTCACAAGGGAAGACAAATCAAGGGCTTCTTTCAAGAGAATCACTCCAGCTGGAGCAAGGAATTGAACCTTGCAGTGACAAGAAGCCTCTTCCGTTTTAGAAATTATGCTTCTTTGCCTTCAGATGTCTCCATGAACGACAAAGAGCAGCTTGACAGCTTGACCCAAAATAAGGTCCAAAAGAGAACTGTGACTGTTGTTGCCAGCAAAGGACAGAACGGTGACCTGAACACACATGTGAACCCTCCACCTAACACTTCCCTGAGTCAGACAGCCTACTGGTGCCAAAGGCTTTTATGAATAACCACAGGCAAGCCTGCCACTGGCCACTGCAGCCTCAACACAGACTCTGGTGAGAAGAATGGTCAACTTCAGACATTTGCATGGTGGCAACTGGTAGTATACAGTATGAGTTTCAATAGGGAAGGAAGAAAAAAATTAAGAAAACACTTTGCCTCTTGGAGTAGACCACTGGGTTCGGGCTAAATTAAAAGAATCCAATTGTCATCTTTTTCCATGTATGCCCAATTTGAGTAGGACGGGAACACAGAATATAGATCCTCAGTAAAAGGTCACTTCAAGGGTGTTTTATGGGCAGGGAGTTGAACAGAAGTGGTATGGCATTTGTTCTTGAGGTAATAAAACTATTCTAAAATTGACCATGAATTGTAGATATGTGGATGATATCAATGAGGGCTATTATTAAAGACTGCTTTTCTACATTCTTGTTAATGAAAGATAGCACCACTGTTGTTGGTTTACCATCCCTTGCTTATGTGCAAGCCACAGCAAATCTACTGAAGTGGTCCATTCCAGAAAAGTCAGAAATCTGTTAAGATCCCAGCACCCATGTCAGACAACTCAAAACTGCCTGTGGTATCTAGTCCCCTCTTCCAGCCTTCACACACATAAGAATTTAAAGTATTAGTAAGGCAAGAAGTTTCCAGTCACAGCTATAGCAGCAAGACACCATGCTCTCCATCCATTCTCTCCAGAGACAGAATGTCAAAGAAAGAGACAATTGTAGCATAACAGTACCCATTCTCTTCTTCCAGTTCATCCTTTCTGTTCATCATGGCCACGATGGCCTGGCGTAGTTCATCTGAAGGAAGAGAACAAAACACTTATGAGCAGATGATCCTGCTAAGCTGTCCCCTTGCCTCTCTGCAGTACATGCCATCACAGGTGTTTTGTCTAACTAAGTTCTCTGTTCCTGGCAAGAATTATTTTACAGCCTTAGAGACCTGATAGGCTCAACTGTCACCTTCATCTACCATACAAACAGAAGGAGCATGGCAAGATGAGAACCAAAATGTGTGCTGGAAGGAAGGGTGGGTTCCTAACAGAACATACTAGCTTAGAGTTTCTGATTACTTTCCCAAGTCTCTGTTCATGGACAACATCTGTTGTGAACAGTGATTTATTGTTCCTTGCTGCTGTTTATCAACCGAGAGAACAGATCAGGTAGTACCAAACTCCATGCTTGCATAAAGACAGTCCATCAGGGTTAGTAAACGTCCAGCTCTCCTTCTGAGGTTAACATACAGATGACTGTTCAATACACAGCACACACTGCAGTACTCAGAAAAGCCATGCCTCTGACCCCTTCTACACAGGAAAGCATTCAAGGATAAAAATGATAATACGTAGCCACACTTCCTACCTCCACAAGACTTATCCATCGATGCTGCGTACATGAGGAAGGCACAGCCAGACCCTAGCCTATCTCAAGAACTGGAGATGACAATGTTGTTCTATCCGTGTCTTTGATTTCCCCTATGGTGACTACTGGGAACCATGGGACCCGAATCACACACCTAGTAGTAGTCTATGTCTATGTCTAAGATTATATACTATGTCCAGAACCAACTACATGTGTCCAAGTGATGAGATCATGACAGGTATACTCAAAGGCTCAGTATCCCACCTTGTGTTTTAAAACCAGAGGTATTAGCCAGGCATGGTGGCACATGTCTGTAATCCCAGCACTTGTGGAGACAGAGGCAGGCAGATCTCTATGAGTTGGACACCTTGCTCTACAGAGCAAGACCAGGACAGCCAAGGGCACAGGGAGAAACTCTGTCTTGAAAACAAAACAAAAACAAAACAGAGGTATTGATGATATTGATGATCCTAGCAAACTTCCTCAATTTTAAAATCTTTCATAATACAAAAAGCAGCCAGAAAATGCCTTTCCATTAAAGTTATTAGTAAGAATTAAAAATAACAGGAAAAGAGTGAGACTAGGGAACAAGAGAAAGGTTGTGAATCTATGGCCCAATCTAGCAGCCCTGAGAAACAGAAAGGAGGCCCTAGGGTAAAGCCAAGGGCAGAAAACAGGCAGGACTGAGCCCTGAACAACCAGCCACACTCTGCCTGGAAACACAACAGTCCAGGGCTCATACATTCACTCACTCAAGAACAAGTTCCTTCCAAGGAAAGAGCCAAGCTCCCTCTTGGTCTAAGGAAGAAAAGGGTCTTCCAAGGAAGGTTCCCAATGGAGAGTAACAAGCCATGTGAAGCCAATTCAGTGAAGTTTCTAATCTGGCCCTGGTCATCAGGTCCCTGTTCAGAGCCTCACTCCTGAGTCCCAGCCTCTGTGTGGCCTTCAGAAACAAAGGAGAGCAGCATTCTTCTTGCCTTCTGGAATCCAGAGCACCAGATGAGATGGAGACAGAGGTGTCTCTGAGATAGTGCCTTTCACAGGCTGCATCAGGAAGCAGAGAGAGCTCAAACTGCTGCTAGCACTTAGAATTTTATCCTAAATGATAAATCTATAGAGGAAAAACAAGTAATTTATCCCCAAGCCACTGTGACCATGAAGGAAAATAGAACAAATTATATTCACTTTTTATCAACAGCAGACAGGATATGCAATCTGGACTCCGTCTTCAGGCCAGGCAGACTAGTGCTGAGGGCATTGTGGGCACAGACTTGGCTACTCCTCCACCCCAGGACCTGTGAGGATTCTGAATTTTCCTCCAGGCTTTCTCTCTCATTGGAGTTCTTGGCTAGGCCTGAACCACAAAGAGAAAGGATGCTCACAGTCGCCATCTGGAGCTGGAAGACACAGTCTCCTAATTCAGGATCCCGCACTGTTTGCCTGCAGCCAGCCTACCCTCCTCTCCACTCTGAAGCAACACAGCTAGTTGACCTTCATGTACTGCTTGTGTTGTACCCAAGGTGGGACCAGATTTCGATAGATGACAGAAGGCACCTCCAGCACCAGTATACTCAATAAAGAGTGGCCTGGAGTAGGTAGGTCAAATGTTATCATACTGACAAGCCTTCAGTCCTCCACTCTGCTCCACCCCTCCCAGAGGGCACAGTCAGTCAACATGAGCACAATCCTGAGCATCTGTGTCCAACACCATCCCAAGTCACCATAGTGACAGCATCTGCTGGCCTAGACGCCTCCTGAGGGGATCTCCAAATGATTCTAACTGCACTACTGTTGCCCCCCTGGTCAGACTTTCCTTTAAGATGGACCTTATTACACAAAGATGTTATCTCACAGATTTCCCGGTCAGAATCCATCTTTCTTCATGTTAAATCCACCACTTGCATTCTAGAAAAACCCGAACCCATATGCCCAGGCCCTGCAAGGGTATGCCTTTCTTCAGAAGCCTCCCTACTGCTCACGCCCCGCAGCAGCTATGGGTGTGAGACTGCAAGTCCCCTTGGTCTTCCACATGCACACAAAGCACACTGCACGTCTCGATTCCGGGCCCCTTCTCACTGCATGTCCAACTACGCTGTTTGGATTTGATTTCAGAAAAATGAGTGACAAAGGAGGCCATTCTGATCTAATTTCCATACTTCTAAAACTAACAGCAAAACTCCAAATGACAAATGTCATGTTTTCTCTTATGTGGAAGCTAGATTGTAATTTGTGTGTTCATGTGCATGACTGCATGTGTGAGGGAATCATAGAAAAAGACAGAGTATGAGAGGAAAGGAAGAGAGAAGCAGGGGTGAAAAGGTAATTAACATATATGACATGAAAGCATGAGGGACGAGTTCAATAGAAGGAGACCAGCAAAGGGAAAATAGGAGAGGAAAGTGGAGAGGGAAACTATAATGATATATAATTATGAAAATTGTACAAGGAAGCTCATTATGTTATATGCTAACTACAAATGAATAAATAATACACACATAAAGAAATCAAATGACAATAACAGCACTCTCTATGAAGCTACAATGCTTTTGCCCAGCAAGCCTTGTTTCTAGTCTCACAGCCTCCTACTGAGGGCAATCAATACCACAAAGCAAGAAACAGATTGTGACAGTCCCTTCAGAATACCCAATACCTCAAACCTCCACCACCTACGCACCTACAACGGTCAAAGCTGTCCTGGTGGGCAGAAGTAAAAGGCAAGAGGAAGCTCAGCTATGGACTCTAGTAGCTTCCATTCCAGTGACAGAACAAAATCCACAGCAACTTGCTGACAAAAGGCTCTGGAGCCAGCAGCCCTAAGTTCAAGCCCTGCTCAGCCATGAGTCACAGGTAACCTTGACAGATTTCTGCCTTTGCCAACTACAGGCTGGAATTGTGTCTCACTACCCCCGGGAGGGCTGGTATCAAGCACAGGGCAGCCATTCAGCCTCAGCAGTTATAGGATATAGTCTCTGGAGCCAGGCGCTGACCTCAGATCCCAGCCTCCTGCCTGAGCAGCACTGTTTAATGGCCTTCTCTGAGAACCTTAAGGCTGAAATGGGACCTAACAGTCTCTGTTTCATAAAGCATGGGGGCACACACCAATAACCCTAGCATCTGGGAGGCAGAAACAGCAGGATCAATAATTTCAAGGCCATCAGTGGCTACACAGGAAATTTGAGGCCAGCCTGGGCTACATGAGACCCTGTCTCAACACCAACAAGAACTAGACAAACCCAGTCACCATCACACAGAAGTGCTGTTAGGATTAAATGAGGTTAATGTGCAAATGAGGTGCCTAGGACACAGTAGCATTTAACAGGTATTACTGAAGGTTCTCACTACCCCTTTCCCTTCAATGGCACGGAACAAAAGGTAAAAACTTGGTGCCAGTCATTTATGCTGGGCCCATTTGCGGAGATGTGGAATACACTAAGCTCCTGCACACCTTAACCTTGGGTAATAAAAGGAAATTCTTGAAAATGTTCTCTGCTATAGAGTGACAGACCAGATAAAAAGGTTCCCCCAAGGGTCAAATACCGTCCAATGGGCAGTGTGGGCACTAGAAGAATAGTGGCAGCCTCTGGTAACCACAGGAGAGCTTGGTTGAAGCTTGCCATGCAGAAGCCACCATCAAGCAGCAGCAGACCTACGATGCTGATGCAACCCAGCCAGCCCTGTCATCCTGGCCTGACCACACCTGCCCCACACACTGTGTTTTCAACCTGTGTTTGCATTAACATCAAGGTGATAGACAACAATTACAAGTGCAAACAAAGCAGCACTCTGTTGGTGGCAACCTTTTTAAGTCCGTCACAGACAGAAGGGCTGTCAGCATCCTCTTGCCTTCCACAGACTCCCACCACTGAACACTGATAATGGTGGGAAAGGACGCAGCTCTAAGGCTCTTTGACAGACTCTAATAAGAAATGCATTCTTGCTGCTCTGCTGGCTGCCCATTCCTTCATGGACAGCAGTGAGGGAATGTGGTTCCCGTGTATCATGTGACTATCAACAGCCACCCATCTCAAGTCCTGTGCCTGAGCAAAGGCTCTCCCTGATATGTAACCTTGTCTCCAGCATGGTGCAGCTCTTTGTTAGTAGAGGCTCTGACTCCCAGCCTCTGTGGAGCCTGGTCATGCCAGGCAGTCCGTCTCCAGAGGCTGAAGGGCCCATGGCCATCTCTCAAAGCAGTTCTTCACTTGGCTACAGAACAATGAGCTGTAAATATAGTCACACAGGAAAAATGACAACTTCAACCATCAGAAATTGATCTGGGATAAAAAGTATTTCCAGTTATTGCACAAAAGATGGCTTTGTCTACAAATGCTGCCAAGGCAAGGAACTACTTTGAAAGCAGAAAGCAAGACTTCAAGCTCTACTTCTGCTATGAACTGAAATAAATACCAGGCATAAAAATACTTAAATATGGGAAATGAGGC